ATTACGTTTCATCTGATTAATTTCATCTAATCCGGTTTCATTCTTTTAAATAACGCTTTAATGACTAACGTAAAAATTTCATAAACGTTTTATTCCTATCTAAGCTAAGCTTGATCTAATTAATTTCATATAATCTAGTTTCATTCCTCGAAATAGCGCTTGAATGGCTAGCGTGCAAATTTCTATTACGTTTCATTTGTATCTGCTGTGACTGTAAATTACGTTTCATCTGAATAATTTCATCTAATCCGGTTTCATTCTTTTAAATAACGCTTTAATGACTAACGTAAAAATTTCATAAACGTTTTATTCCTATCTGAACTACGCTTGATCTAATTAATTTCATATGATCTAGTTTCATTCCTCGAAATAGCGCTTGAATGACTAGCGTGCAAATTTCTATTACGTTTCATTTGTATCTGCTGTGACTGTAAATTAAGTTTCATCTGATTAATTTCATCTAATCCGGTTTCATTCTTTTGAATAACGCTTTAATGACTAACGTAAAAATTTCATAAACGCTTTATTCCTATCTAAGCTACTCTTCATCTAATTAATTTCATCTAATCCGGCTTCATTCTTCTTAATAACGCTTGAATGACTAACGTGCAAATTTCTATAACGTTTCATTTGTATCTGCTGTGACTGTAAGTTGCGTTTCATCTGATTAATTTCATCTAATTCAGTTTCATTCTTTTAAATAACGCTTTAATGACTAACTCACAAATTTCATAAACGTTTTATTTCAGTCTAATCTGCGTTTCCTCTAATTAATTTAATCTAATCCAGTTTCATTCCTCTAAATAGTGCTTGAATGATTAACGCACAAATTTCATAAACGTTTAATTTCTATCTAATCAGCGTTTCATCTAATTAATTTCTTCTAATCCAGTTTCATTCCTCTAAATAAAACTTGAATGACTAACGAACAAATTTCATTAACTAATATGTTTCTCGAATGTTAAATTTTAATAACGTGAGAAGATAAACTTCCAAATTTATGTTCTTAGCGTATACCAGCTTTATTATATACCCAGATTATGTCATTGCAACAAAATGATATTTGACCATTTTTTCACTTGCTTAGAAACGTGCTTTATCTCTTTCGATATCAGAAATTAATTTATATTTTTTCGTTATACAACAGAATTAATTAATAATGGATTTAAAGAGACTGGAAATTAATTCTTTTTACCTAAAAATGCATCAATGCAATATGGATTTTCGTTTCTCTTAAATTTATAACGCATTTTCTTTCAAAAAACATGAGACGATTTATTTAATCGTGTTGGGGGAGGCGTTGACAAGTTATTCATCAGAATGATTTATTTAGCGTCAAAATGTTTAGAATTGTTTCTTATGTGGTTAAAACATACCAATTGCTGGTTTTCTAGAATATTTTAATCATGATTTTTCACTTAAAGGAGAACTATAGTTTTACTGCTTTTTTAATATCCTGCTCTTAGGGAAAACATAATTAAAGATGAGATGTAAACGCTGGATACTAGAATAATTTATTTCGCCTTTCGCGAACATAATTTTTTTTAATGAATAATTTATTCTCTATAACAGATAGTAAAAAAATGTTATCGTTGCAAACATTAGTTATGCATCACTATTTTCAATTTTTCGCAAAACCGTCCTTATTTTTATTAAATACTAAAACAGAGGAAGATCATTTATATAAAGTTGGGAAGTATACATTTGTAACCAAACTTTACTTTTTTACTTGAAATCATCGATCTTATTCTTTAAGTTGAAAATGACATTATTTTTGCTTAAAAGAATTAGTTTTAGTTTGTTAGTTTTTATTAGTATAGTTTAAAGTTATACGTGGAAATGTAATAGGTAAGAATGCTTAGCTAACCATTCCTTTTTGCAAAAAAAGTCTACCTAATATCGGATCTGTAAATAATGTTTGAGACCCACCACCAGTCCATGGACCAGCTGTTGAAAAGCAATGATCTAGTAGAAGATTCAAAAATTTGTCAAGAAACTATCAGGGAAATAATACTAAGGAACAGGTTGCTGTAAAAATAGAGCTTTTGAAAAGGCGTGGTTTATCACTGTATTACCTCAAACCATTTATATTTACTGCGTTACACTACTTTTCAATGGTTTAAAAAAATTAAAATATACTTTTCTTTTTTTACAATTTTTTGTGTTTGGAACTTCTTAAATTAAAAGAAAAATTCCTTTAAATTATCTTGTATAGTAATTAAGAACATACGTGAAAAAGTTTAAAAAAATAGTTTTAAATTAATAATTTTAGGAAAACCTTTTATCACACATTAAATGTTTCAAAAGCGCTTGCTGTTCTTTTGGTAAAAAAAAAATAATTTCTATCTTCAAGTTTCTTACGAAAATTTCGAATACACAACAATTTGAATTATTTGTAGGTTAAAATAAGAAAAATAGTTGTTTTGTCGCACGAGATATATTTATTTTCCTTCACTTTTTTTGGTTTAATGGAGTTCTAAGTAAAGGAAAATTAAGGGTGTTTATAATATACATATAAGGGTGGTTATACACCGAAGAGCCATTATATTATGACCAGCCTCCATCTATAACAGGGGTTTCCAACTTACATGAGGCCGGGGGCCGCAATTAAAAACAAAAATCAAATGGCGGGCCGCAACTTTATCAAAATTTTATGTAGGACTCTTTTATGTTTGAAGGAACATTAAATATTACTGTCAGATTTTTACCAAGTTGTACAAAACAAAAGTATTGAATTACAAATTAAAATAAGTAGATTTTTAAAAATATTTAATTGTTATAAATAAGATTTTCAAAAATATTAAATAAATAATAAAAATTCGGACTACAATAACTTTGATGTGCACCTATGTATTAAACAACTAATGTGCAACAGATATCTAATTGTTAAGATACCAAACTTTGAAAAGGTTGGTATTAAAACTTACAAAGTAGCACACACAATATTCAATGAGAAAATTGAGGTTTGTCTGCTGCAACCAAAAGAGAATAGTTATTTAAATTAAAAGTTTACAAATGTGTGTGTAAATACTTTCATCCAAAATTAGTGGTTTCAATAAGTTAAATCGGAGAATTTTTTCGAGAAAATTTCTGATACGCACATGCTACATTATATTCACAAAATACGAAAAAAAATAAAACAAAAAAGAGCAACATACGCGATTATTGAATAAATATTTTCTTGGATGCAAAACCTAAGAAATCAATTTATTTGCACCGTTAGTATGTTAAATTTCACAGAAACGAAGAAATTAGGTTTTTATTAACGAGAAAAGTATTGTAAACCCACATAGATTTTTTACGAAGATTGTCCGCAAAAAAGTGACAACTAATATATTTTAGTTTGCGGGCCACAAAAAAAGGCTTCGTGGGTCGGATGCGGCCCCCGGGCTGCCAGTTGGAAACCCATGATCTATAACAATGAGCTCGCCCAGGATTTCATGGTTTCTAGCCCAGGAACAATGTTTTCATGGGGCACATTAGGACCCATAATTCTCATAGAACAATCCCTGACGTCTGTAAGCTGCTTGAACGTAGTTGCAGACCAGGTTCACTCTTTCATGGCAACAGTTTTTCCTGCGGGGGATTGTGTTTACCAACAGGATAATGCATCATGTCATAAGGGATGAATCGTCATGGATTGGTTCGAGGAACATTCCAGTGACTTTCAAGTCATGTCTTGGCTCCCAAATTCACCTGACCTTTATCCAATAGAGCATTTGTGGTCCTACTTGGAAAACCAAATTCGTGCTGTCACGTTACCACCTCGCAATGTGAGGGAATTGCAGGACCAGTTGGTGAGTGCTTGGTACCAGATACCTCAGACTACCTATCAGCACCTTGTGAAATCAATGCCACGGCGGGTGTTAGCAGTTTTGAGGGCTTAAGGTGGTCCTACATGTTATTAGCAGGGTGGTCATAATGTAATGGCTCTTCGGTGTATATAATATATTTATATATAATTAATGTACTTTTTTTTTCCTTTTCAATTTGAATAAAATGAGTATGTTTAAATAAAATTTATAGTCGCAAATTAATATTTAAGCAAGCAAACAAAATGCTATCGAAATCTTGCAAATCACAATTGAAAAAAACAAGTGTGCAAAATATGTTATGCTTAGAGAAATCAGAAAGAAATACGATTATTAAATTTGATTTAGAGTTAAAACTAACAATCTTTCGCATTTTGATATTTTATTCGTTTTTTTTTATGACTAATTATTTAGATCAAGATAGCGTTCTTGTTTTTTCCTCATTTAAATGTAAATTTGCTATCGAAAAGTGTATAAAAGTGTGTAATCTTCCTTTATGATTAGGATTCTAATTTATTTATATGAAGGGCAACCTTTAAAGAATATCGTGTATATTTAAGAAATTTGGGATAGACGATTTTTCTCTTCAAAGTTCTGAACAATATTTATTTAAAATCGAGAAATGTGTAATTGTTAAGCTTAATATTTGTGCAGAAATATCAAAAATGTATATTTTTGTCTTGAATCATTCTATATGCATAGCCTTTAAAAATTTCGTAAATGAGTCTTTTATGTTTATGTAATTATTTTTAATTTTCCAAAAAGAGGAATATGCACTTTATTTAGTTTGTAAATACTGTAAATTCTTAAATGTAACATCGTTATGACAAGAGCGTTTCGTAGGAAAATATTGTTCTTATTTAATATCCCAGCTTTTATGTTTACAACTATGTTTATTTTATTTGGCATATCTTAACTCTTTGTAATACTGGAGAGATAACATAATGTTTTAAGAAAAATTGTTTGTTTAAAATGTTGCAATAAATCTTTTATTGCGTAAAGAGCTGGTTTTTATCAAAACAAATTTGTCTGAAGAATTGAGTTTGTAATTGTGAAATGTGAATTTCAAATAAAACGGCATTGTTTGTGACGTTTAATCTCAAAAGCGTTTTGAAAAGAAATACTTCAGTCACATATAAATATATTACAACATAATATTGTTTTTATTTAAATGCAATTGGATTGTCTAGAAAATCTAATTATCTGGATTAAACATTGTTTCAGCGTTCTTACATCTCATGAATATGACATTGTTAAATTTATTATATTCTGAAAAAGTCTCTCTAAATTATCTTAAGTTTGTGAAATATTAATGGAAGATAAACAAAGTTAAAGAATTTGCATTGTAAGTTATATTGTACTAATTTATTCTTAAGTCCTTTTAAAATTTTTCGTAAGTTGTTCAGGCAATGTATTTTCTTGATAGAAAAAGAGCTGAAAATTATTGATCAGATGAAAACGCTAGGCAAGGGTTTTTTAAATTAAAATTATCTTATTAATAAAGTACTAAGCACTAAAGAATGAAGAGTCTCTTTTGTGCCGGAGTAAAATAAAGTATAAAATACCTTAGTTAAGCTATTTCATTGAAATAATGAAAATCAAATAAAATAGTACTAAGCTATTTTAAGCTTGATAAAATGTATGCATAATATCTAAATATCTGAAAAACAAACGAATAAACATGAGTTGCGAGAGTGATTAAAAATATGATTGAGTAGTTAAAATTAAAAACTGGGTTTAAAAAATTACTACAAACGTAAATATTTTCGTGAATTATTTTAAAACAAAATAGAATGTCTGTTAGAAAGTAATAGGGAAAATATTCCTTTGGAAATTTCAAATTTTAAGATCATAAAAAGGTGATTCTATGGATCCGCATAGACTACAAGTAATTTGAAAATAATTTAGAAATTTCAAATTTTAAGATGATAAAAAGGTGTTTCAATGAATCCGCGTAGACTACAAGTAATTTAAAAATAATTTGGAAATTTAAAATTTTAAGATCATAAAATGGTGATTCTATGGATCCGCATAGACTACAAGTAATTTGATAATAATTTAGAAATTTCACATTTTAAGATGATAAAAAGGTGATTCTATTGATCCGCATAGACTGCAAGTAATTTGAAAATAATTTGGAAATTTCAAGCTTTAAGATGATAAAAAGGTGATTTTATGGATCCGCATAGACTACAAGTAGTTAGAAAATAATTTGGAAATTTCAAATTTTAAGATGATAAAAAGGTGTTTCAATGAGTAATTTAAAAATAATTTAGAAATTTCGAATTTTAAGATGATAAAAAGGTGTTTCAATGAATCCGCATAGACTACAAGCAATTTAAAAATATTTTTTGGAAATTTAAACTCTTAAGATGATAAAACGGTGCTGTTATGGATTAGACTGCAAATATTTTAAAAATAAAGCGATAAAATCGTTAATTCACCAACAAAATTGTGTTATGGCAAAAATATAGACGAATGATTTTTCTAAAGAAAAGAAGAATAAATATTCCTCTAAATCATGAAAAAAAAGTTCAAAAGAAATTTTTCTGAACAAATCCTGTATTTGTAATTCGATAACAGTAATTTCCTTTAGATACGTTGCATAACCAATTAGAATTATATTAAGTCCAGATAATGTAAGCATTAAGCAACAAGAGAGATTATGTAAGGATGAGACAAACTACCATAAAATACAATCTGTATTTCATGGTAATTTGTTCTTTGACGGATCACGTGAAAAAATTATTTCCTCCGCTTTGTGTGAATGAAAGAAATTAAATGATAGCAAGATGCATATTATTATACAACTAGTTTTGCAGAAAATATGCTTTCTCGAAATTGTAACAATACAATACAACAACGTGATAATAACATAATTTTGCTTCGGATTTATCCTTGTATTTCTGCTCTAGTCTAAGCAGTTATCAAAAATTAGACGTAATCTATTAACCCAGAACCAATCAACCCATAAATTAAAATCAACCCTAACCTACAACTTTATTCAAAGACGATAAAACAACATCTACATTTTTCATCTTCTCTAACATTCATTACTCAATTAATCCTATTCAACAAAATGAATCTCGATTCGAATTTGCATTTTATGAAATAATTAAATTTATTTTAATTTTATTTTGATTGTAAATTCGTGTTTGGATTTGAAGTTTTCTATAGGAAAAAATCAATCATAAAAAATCAAATAAAAAATTAATCAATCATAAAAATAAAAAATTGTTATGATCTGTCTTTGGATGAGAATTTTGAAAATTGGCTAATACTTTTGATATTTGGTTAATTTACTGGATAATAATTAAAAGTTTATAAAGGAAAGAAATATATAGGAAGCATAAATTTTACTACCGCTTTAAATATAGAAATAAAATTATATAAATAAAAGTTAAATATATAAATAAAAGTTGGCAGGTATGCGGCATTTTCTGAACCAGACGATGGACATCCAACATCATTTTAAAGTGAGCTCTATTTTTCAGTTGCTAAATTCCGTATAGAAATTAAGTATAATTTTTTTTAGATTATTTAAAGCACTTACAGTGTTAGGAATTTGAGATTTAAAACTGTTAAAATTTTGAAGAATCACCTATATATGGGGAACGAATATACAAAAAAAAAGTTTTTACTAGATAAAAGTTTTGTTTATTTCTAAATATAAAGTACAAATAATATCATTTGGTTAAAAGCTGTCTCTATGGTCCTGAATAAACCACAAAGATCTCTAGTGTTTAAACAAAATAGAACAACCCTTTTTTAAAATAAAAAATCATATCTTTCATTTTCAAAAATGGACATATAGTCTTATCAAAATTACGGGTTGCCATCCATTGACATTTTTAAATGAAAACTTCGTTTGTATGAAATAACGCGTGACGTTGAGATATATTTATTAACTTTCAGTTATAAAATCTCTTTAGAAAAACTCATTTCGGGGATCTTTTCTTAAATGATGCATTCAAGAAACCATTATCGAAAGTGGTTGTATAATTTAGTTTATTTTTTTATCAGAAGACATTCATTTAAAGTGAAAATTCTTACAGGCGATTTTTCACTTCTCCTTTTTTACTTTCAACCGAATTTTATACTAGATTACAAAATCGAAACCAAAAGTAAAAAGGAATTATTTAATTCAGTCTCTTGGGGGGGGATGGAATGAATGAATGATATTAGGAAAACGATCGAATTTATGAATGGAATGTGATAACGATTGTTGAAACAGATCATTTATGTTTCTGCGGTCGCGAAGAAAGAGAAAGAATTTTTAAATGTACAATTAAAAAAAGAAAAAAAGAAACTCACATCTTTAAAATTTTGTTTCATTGCATTAGAATACAGCTCGAATTTTCAAGCATATTATGTGGTAACTATTGTTGTAATAGTAAACGCGCCATATATTGCCGCGCAATGACAATCAACAACAGCTACCAAAAATTCAAAATCGAGATTTTAATGTATTTGGTATTTTTATGTATACCACATATTGCAAATGAAAAAGCTTTTTCAAGAATAAATTCTTTTTAATTTAAATTTTCTGAAAAGTTCTATTTTAGAGTTGATAGTATTACGACAGGGGAACGAAAATAATTGTCATGCATTTTTTGGGTAGACTATATTTGAGGGTGCCTCTTCTTTCTCGCCAAGTTGTGATAACGGTTGATCACCAAGCTGGGTGATGTTGAAACCCAATCGTGATTCTGATTGGTTTAGATTTCAGCGTTAGTTTTAAATGTTCAATGGTATATGTAATTTCAGAGGTCCGTTAGTTCCACGTTAGATACCGGCTGGTAAGGTTACTTTTGCTTCTGATCAATAAGATCGAAGGTATGTGGGCAGTCATAAAAAGGAACTTTAGAAAAAATTGTCACCGCCAATCTGGTGCCACAGACGCCTTTTTCGATTCGTATTTCGTTGAATTTATGTGGCGATGGAGGTACACATGATAAATGTCTATTCCATTCATGATAAATTAAGACAGTATCTAACTGCCATTAGAGAATTCTGTGCACCTAAATCTAAGGATATTCAAGCTTAATGAAGAAGTGAGTTGTTTTTTTCCTTTTCTTTCTGTGCTCACTCCATAAAAATTTGGTTTCGATTCAAAATGCATTTTTATTGGGTGTATTAATTTTGCTTATATTGGGTTCATTGCTGTTTTATAAAGTTTTGGCCGATGTTTTGTTCAAATTTTCCAATGTTTTATTGAAATTACATTATGTTTTGGCAGTTATTCCTGTTACCACGGTGTTCCACGCAAACAGGAATGGCGCCAAACATAAGTCGCCAATTTCACCAAGGGTAATTTCGCCAAGGGTTTTTTTTAATTTAAATTTTCTGAAATTCTATTTTAATGTATTTGATAGTATATTAGGGCAGGGGAAAGAAAATAATTGTCAAGCATTTTTTCTCGGAAACGGTCGTGAAGCACTCAAAATATTATTTTCTTTTTCATTGCAAGGCACTATAGGCTTTTCAAACTTTCACAAGTTGTAAGGGGTGAAATATTTTCAAAGAGAATGGCAGATTTTAACCGGCTGGTACAACTGATGAGCCAGAAGAGCAAGTTTTATCATTCTAAGCGCCGTAAGTAAAAGGTAAGACTTTAGGTTAAGTTAAAAACATGCTAATAGTTTGGTGGTTTTTTAGCGGAAAAATATACGTATTATACATTTATAAATCAACAGATGTTTCTTAATTGATAAAATGCATGTATTATGTTTAATATGTAATTTTTTAATTAGAAAATGCATTCATAAAACAAAACGATTTTTTCACTGAAAAAATGTATTAATACACTCTTTAATAAGTCAGCGAGTGTTTACATTAGTAAATCCTCCAGTAACTTTTAATGTGAAAATATAAATAATACACTGTCATAAATCAACAAATGTTTCTTTAAAGAGATAAAGAGAAAATACATGAAATATACTTTCATAAATCAGTTGTTTTTTTCAAAAAATGCTTAATTACATTCCTAAGTGTTTACTTTTGGTTGTTTTATTAATGAAAAAAATTATCTAAGACACTTTCACAATTTTAATTAAGCAGCGTAAACTAAATTTTTAATACGCACATTCAACGTACTAAACCGTAACACAACAAAATTTAATAAACATAAAGCCAGGAATTAGAAATATATCAACATAAAACAAAAAGTTAGAAGAAAAAAAATTAGAAAAACTAGAAAGTATTTTTTTAAAAGCAAATTTGAATAATTGTACAAATTAAAGCAAAAAAAGAAAAAAAAAGAGAAAAAACAACTTGAAATAAAGCACAAAAAAGTAGTGCAGAATGTCCATTTCTGCATTTTTATCTGTGCTTTATTTTTGCTTTAGTCTCCGTAGCGCAAAGTATACCTTATCCTTCTTTTGAATTTACAAACTATGATAATTTTGATAAAGTAAGGATGCCACTTTCTTTTTAGGCTACTATTTTTACTCCAAGGTACAAAAAAAAAAGAAAAAGAGAAAAAAAAGAGACTTTTGTTATGGTTTTTACAGCATCTTTTAGAACAACTAAAACGCATTAAAAGTTTTAATACTGGTGTTAATTTATGAAAGATAAGTGAAATTTTGTTTCTAAATATCACAAACAGCAAAACGGAACGAAATCTGAAGTCAATCCAATTATTTTTTTCCTCCAAGATTGAAGCCAAGAAGAAACGGCTTTTCAGTGAGAGTTTTTCACAAATCTTTTAAAAAAATTGAAACACATTGAAGCACTTAACATTGATGTTAATCTATTAAAGATCATTGTAGTTTTGTTTTTAAATACCATCAACACGACGTAGGCTTCAGGGTAATTGAAAATATTTTGTACTTAACCCAATTGGCGATTTTGTTCTCCGAGTTTGGTGCCAAAAAATATAAAAAAGTAAAACAAATGTCATGTCAATAATCACACGCTTACACTGTTTGAATATCATTATGATAAACATCATCTTGATATTTATAAGAGGTGTTTAATTTGAAGATTTGAGAAATCTCGAATTTTAAATGGTCACTTCAAAAGCTTACTGGGTATAAAACTAACTTTAGAACATTATGTTTGTGTGACTCGAAATGTTTTCTATGAACCATATAAGCTTTTATTATTATGAGAGTAATTACAATTCAATTTGTGGTTATTATACTGTCATTTGGGAAACGAGTTGAGAGAATTCCTTTAAGGCACATTTTCAAATATTTCAAACAAATGACCGCAATTAAATTAATATGAAGCTCGGCACATTTACATATTCTCTTGAAATAAAATTATCTCCCACCGCAAACTAAATCGTGAACACATCAGATTTAACAGTTATTTCAGCAGTGTTTATCACTTGCTCAGCGAGGTTAGTTTTAATACTATTTAGCATAACATAAATCATCAAAACATAAAACAATTTTTGGATTTCGAAAATATTTATTGCAAAAAATTAACTTTAATACATAAAACACTAATGTATGTACTGTTAAAAGCAATGAAACTTAATTTTTCACATAGGAAAACTCTCAGAAATAAAACTCTCACTCCAGTTTACATTTCTTATACAATAGTGAATGGAAATTTAATAATTGTAGCTTTAGTTACGCTTCATAACTACCCTAGCTGAAATCGGAAGTGTGAGGTAAAAGAATAAGAAAGTTGGGGAAAAAGTTAAGAATACGGAAACATGAGATAAAGGTTGAATGAATAAAAATATTTTATAATCTTAATGATCTTATGACGAATTGCAGAATTTAGAGGGAATCGGGAGACAATGTTAATTTAGGAACATAGACTATAGAAAATGTGACAACAGCAATAAGCTTCCTTTGTCAATTTTTTTTTCCATGAATGCTTTATTTAATTTCCCGAGAGAAAAAAAAATTAGTTCTCTACACACAACTGACATTCTTAAAAGTACATTTTTAGAATGTCACTTGATACCATCATGCACCAAGTACTTCAGTTAAATTGCATTTCAACTTTTCTACTCATAGCTACACATAACGTGTTCTTAAACCCTACATATTCCAAGATATTTTAAAAAAAGTACGAATTTCTAGTGCTTGCAAATTTTGCCACGATAAACTGTATTGATGGCGCTGGCATTGAAACACAAATAAGTACAAACAGTAGTTTCGTATACTAACGTGTTACTAAATTTTTCAGTTAAGTCCCACTTTGAATTTTTTGCACACATGGCGCCATACAAGGGCGCCGGCAGAATAATATAAAAGGGGGTACAACCCTCTTACAAACTACCCCCCCCCCCAAAAAAAAAAATTAAAATATTCTGTTATTACATTTTTGTTTTGTTATTGCATATACTTCCATCTGTTATTTTTCAAGATACATTTCTTCATTGTTAACAAGATATTTTAAAAAAAGTACGAATTTCTAGTGCTTGTAAATTTTGCCACGATAAACTGTATTGATGGCGCTGGCATTGAAACACAAATAAGTACTAACAGTAGTTTCGTATACTAACGTGTTACTAAATTTTTCAGTTAAGTCCCACTTTGAATTTTTTGCACACATGGCGCCATACAAGGGCGCCGGCAGAATAATATAAAAGGGGGTACAACCCTCTTACAAACTACCCCCCCCTCAAAAAAAAAAATTAAAATATTCTGTTATTACATTTTGTTTTGTTATTGCATATACTTCCATCTGTTATTTTTCAAGATACATTTCTTCATTGTTAACAAGATATTTTAAAAAAAGTACGAATTTCTAGTGCTTGTAAATTTTGCCACGATAAACTGTATTGACGGCGCTGGCATTGAAACACAAATGACTAAAAACAGTGGTTTCGTATACTAACGTATTTGTGCACGCTTAATATTGATATTTATTGTGTTGATGAAGTTTTACAGTTGTGAGAAGTCAGTTCGTGTTATACACCTTTGTTAAACTGAATAACTAATAGAAAATGTAATATTATTTATATTTTATTAAAGGAAATTTAAAAATATAGCTTAGATATCTGCCAAGTTCGTGCATGCTCAGTGTGCATAAGAAAATAATTAAAGATGACTCAGAATTCATTGAAAAAGTTATAAACAGATTTGGACAGCAAACAAGACGATTACAATTCCTGTTTGATTAAACAATTTTTTAATTGTTATGTATCAATAATTACTTAATTATTTATTTTTGAATAAAAATATTTTTAATAAAAAAACATTTTATAACAAAATTGCTTTTCTGTATCTCTTTAATTTTTTTATTTATTTTTTTATAAAAAAAGCCAGGGGGTGCACCCTGCTGCCGGCGCCCTTGGGGCCATAACATGGTCTTTAACTCTAAATACCCTGCTGTTTCAGAAAGTCAATTGATATCATCCACTTCGATCTTCAGCTAAGTCTCAATCCAACATTTCTACACATAGCTGACCATAACATGTTGCTAACTCTAAAAATCCCGTCTTTTTAGAATCTCTTGAAACCATCATCCAGTTAGTTATTCAGTTAAGTTCATATCAGTTTTTCGTAGCAATATTAAGAGCGAAAGATACCGGTTTTATAAAACGAATTTATTTACAAACAGAATACGGAATCAATTAGTGTAATTGTCGCATGATCTAATTAATGCAGTTCTAGATTTTATTGTTCGCACTAGTGATTTTTTTTCGGCGGTGTTTTTTAAAAATTAAACATCGTGTAACATTAAACATCGCCAAATTTAATATCCTGAAGTCCAAAAATGGCGGTGAATATCTTGACTTAGCATAAAAGTGTAGCTCAGAAAGCTTTATTAGCGAGTGCAAACAAACCGTGGTGGTTTTAGCCTGAAAGACAGAAGAGAGTGAATATACTGGCCCCATATTAGCTCGCAAAGTCAATAATCCCTCTTTCCCCTGGCCTTTTCCTCGCCTACTCCATGATATTATGAAAATTTTCCTCTCTCTTTCAAAGTTTTCCCCTACAAATGAAATGAAAATGAATGGGCGCCCTGTTACCAAAGCATTATTTTAGTTTTCTACACTTTAAGCGAAAGGGAATCTTCAAGCAAATTCACCATAAGCTCCAGAATCTAAAAAGGGGAAAATGGTTTGAAGGCTGCTTGAAAATTCAAGAAAAAGAAAAATATGTTAAAATGTAATGGCGGAAGGGTCATTTTTTTCATTTTTCTTAACAAAAAATAATGCCCTGGAATATGTTTCTTGGATGAAACTTCTCCCTCCCCCCCCCCTCCTCAACCTGCAAAAGACAATATTTCCAATACAAAAACTTTTCCTTTCATTTACAGATTGCATTTTCTTAGATGATTTTTTTTTAAAAATCTTGAGGAAAGAAAGAAAATAGGAAATGATAGGCTGAAAACTAAATTTTTTTTTTCTGACGTAATTTAAATCGATGTTGTGGGTGATTAGGTATTATGAAATTACTGCAAAATTTATAATCATCTAATTTCGAATGGCACGACAAATATACCCAATTTTTTTCACCTGTTTTCTGAAGTCGAATCTTTTTAATTGATGGATCGATCTACTTTTAGAAATTGTAAAAAAGATGAAAGACAATATTGAAATATTTTAATTTCTATAATTTTTTTTTAACTTTAAATTTATTTTTTTGTAATTAAATCATATTAACTGATGGATCTACTTAAAGAAGTTATAAAA